CAAAACCTAGCAAAAGTGCTCCCATCCTCCACTAAGCCTGCTATACTGTCCTACCCAGCACCAGGGCCCACTCTGCTGGTACCATCCTAGCCAGAGCCTGGGACAAATAAAGACAGGCTGGAGAATCAGTGCGCAAGGCTGGAAGGCCAGTGAGATGACTCGGTGGGTGAAGGTATTTGTGGCCCAGCCTGGTGAGCTGAGTTCGACCCCCAGCACCTATGGAAAAGTGGGAGGAGAGAACTGGATCCTGAAAATTGTCCTCTGACCTCCACATGCACTGTGGCGCACACACCCTACACTCACACAGTAATAGTAATAGTAAACTAAAAAGGAGGGGCTGGAGAGATGGCTCAGTGGCTAAGAGCACTGACTGCTCTTCCAGAGGATCCGGGTTCAATTCCCAACACCCACATGGCAGCTCACAACTGTCTGAAGATCTAGTTCCAAGGGACTTCACACCAATGCACATAAAATAAAGTTAAAAAAAAAAAACTAAGAAGGAGCTACAGAAGGCAAGGGTCTTTCACAAATTACTCAGGTGAATTCTATCTACCCACACTGCCCCCTGGAACCACTCGCATCCACCTCTTCCGTAGGCTTAGGGATCATATCCAAACTCTTATTATGACAACTTGGGAGTCTATTAAATGAGGCCCCTTTGTCCTTGCAGGCAGGGAATTAATTCCTCCATTCTGTCCCCATCCACCCTCAGCTATAGCACTATGCTGGCCCAGATACTGGCGTTCACATCGGAGTATGTTACAAAACCAACAAAGACAGAAAATCAAGAGCATTTGCAAGGATGTGGGGAAACAGGAACCCTTGTATATGTTGGGAATGCAAACTGGCCAGCCATTCTGGGAATGTTTTTTAGACATTGAAAAATAGAACGCCTGTACGATCCAGCAATCCTCTTCCTGGGTGCATGTCCCAGAGGACTGAAGAGCGGGCTCATTGTAGTGTTTGCGCACCCAAGTCTGTTTAGAACATTGGCCCCCAAGGCAGCCAAGTGCTGTCACCTGACGAATGAATGACACAGAATGTCAACACCGGTCTGGCTTTGTAAACGAGGGAATCTGGTCACGTGCTATGCAGATGAACCTTGAGGACATTTTGCTGAGTGAAATAAGGCAGTCACAAAAAGACAGGCCTTAGGACTCTGAGACATGATAGTCACGTGCATAGGGACAGAGCAGAGTGGTCACTGGGCTGGGACCACAAAGTGACAAGGGTTAACAGGTCCACTGTGAAACAACACACAGATCAACACTACAAAACAATAAACAAAACACCAAGCACACGATCAGGAGGATTGCTCCCGTCTCAGTGAAGAAATGAGACTATAGTGAAAATTTAAGAGTTGTCTTTCCCCTAGCCGGGCAGTGGCGGTGCACACCTTTAATCCCAGCTCTTGGAAGGCAGAGGCAGACAGATCTCAGTGAGTTTGAGGCCAGCCTGGTGAGTTCCAAGACAGTCAGGGCTACACAGAGAAACCCTGTCTCAGAAACAGAGTTCACTCGCCCAGACCTAGGCGGGTTTGAGCCTGGGAGGCAGAGTCCTCGGGAGGCTGCGAGGCTCCATGCTCACGCGCTTCCTTGCCTGTCCCTGGCAGGTACGCAGTGATCCGATTCAACCAGTATTTCAGAGTGAAGCCTCAAGTGCTGGCCTTGGAGATGCCAAAGTGACCAGCCTCCTGCTGCCGGACCTGCTCCCAAGGGTACCCTCTTGCCTTGAGGTTGGCACCCTTGGGGAAGGTGGGCAACCATGGTGAAGCGCCCTGCCCCCCTCACTGTGGATGCCAATGAAGACTTCATTTTCCTGTTTGGAGGGGCTGAAACCCAGCGTTGGGGTGGGGGCGTTCCCCTTCACCCTGCCAGGCTTGGAGAGGAAGTGCCTGAAGACAGCTGGACCCAGACTGTCATCCTGTGAAGAAAGCACACCGTGGCCAGCCCAAGCCTGTGGAGCTCACGCTGCCTGTTTGTCCTTGACCCTTCCTAGTAGGAGAGGGGAAGGGCTCCTTTCTACCTCTGGTGTCCCAGCCTCCAGCTGAGGGGCATCTGCCCCAGGTGAGAGGTGTTGAGCTCCAAGCCAGCAGGAAGCTAACTCTGCTTGTCTCCTTGGCCAGGCCTGCCAGCTCTGCGGCTTCATCTGAGCTGCTAACTTCTCCAAGCCAGATGCCATCCGGTCACCCCTTCTCCAGCTCCCCTTGGACTCGGGCTGTGCTTCTGCCAGGCCCCTTAGGAGGGGAGGGAAGGGCAGACCCTGAGTAGGTATGGCCTTGGATCCAGTGGCAGGCACCAGAGTGACCAGCAGTCTCCGCCTCTCTCCCCTCCAAGGGTCTGCTCGTCTCTGTCTTCTATTCTGAACATACCCGAGGTCTTCTCATGCGGAAATAAGCAGTGGAGGCAAGGGGCATGGCCTTTACCAGCTCGGGTCTCCCCCTCCCGGTCCTTACTATTCATTCCTAGGGGGTTTGTAGGCCCCCACCGTGATTCACTGTAAATTACTATGTTTTTCTGCATTAAAATGTTTGTTTCTGGAATGCTGTCTTGGAAGGACAAGAGCTTGGAGTGTAACCATTGTACATGTGGAGGAGCTGGGCCAGGCTCAGCTTCCCTTCTGCTGAGCCTTTGGCGTCTGTACCTGCTTGAGTCAGGAACAACAGCCTGTGCACCTCTGATGCCATCCTTGCCCGGCATCCTGCAGAACTGGGCAAGACTGATGCTCTCTTCCACAGCCTCTCCACCTTCGCCACCCTGTCAATTGCCTCTGCAATACATTGCTTAGCAGGGGAGCCCTGATGCAACTGGGCTAATCCTGAGAACATGGGACAGAACACTTACGCCCCCCCCCCCCAATCCTTTCTGACCCTCAGCTATTGGGTGGGAGAGAGCCACTGTCTAGCAGCAGGCATGAGTTTTCTGCAACCAGCCTCCTCAGGAGGCAAGAGCAGAAACTCAAGCAAGAACACCTCAACTGTCTCGACTGGCAGCAGCTGGCCAGGGTAGAGGGTGGGGAAGCATCCGGCTGTTCAGCATTTGCCTGCAAATGGACCAGGCGTCATGGCAACAGCTTTTAGTGGACACTGGCGGCTAGGGCCTTCAAGGTCACATGCTCCAGTGGAGGCAGGCCCTCCAGAGTGTGCTGACGGAGGACCTGGGGGGGGAAAGACGTGCCCAGGCATACAGATAGTGCCAGAGCTTGGAAGGAGGGGTCCCCAAGGTCCTAGAACCAAAGGCATAGTTAGTCCCTGTGCAGCTGGCTCCATGAGCAGCCTCCATAACCCTGTAGACGAGCATGCTGCATTGAGTAGATTGTGGCTGCGATGGGCAGGCAGGTGGGCTGGAGGCGCAGAGGGCTCTGTGTTCCTTCCCCACAAAGCCAGAGTCCCACCTCTCTCTGTCACCCTAGGCAGGAGTTCCAGGCCAGGGCCACCTTTCCCGGGTTGACCTTTGGCCTGTGGAGAAGTGGGCAGGGGTCAGGTGAGCTTGCCGCTAGCTTTCCTAATAGCGACCAGAACATACTGTCCCTGTTTCTGTCCACCTGACCGTGCCCTGCTTCTCCTAGGAAGGGGTGAGGCTCCAGTTGGCCAGAGGACTTGGGGTGGTGATGGCCCAGCAGGTAGATGAGGTCTGCGGACAGAAGTATTTGGAATACTTTTGGCAGCGCGGGCCCAACCCTCCAGGCTGCCAAGGACCAGCCACAGGGCAAAGGGGAACTCAGGATTGCAAGGAGTCCCAGGGAGATTAAAGATTAGGTTTGGTGGAGGTTCAAGTTTGGAGTGAAGTTAAGGGCTTTGAGCTAAGCAGCTCCCCCTAGTGGCCACCTAACTGGGCCAGGCAGCAGGCAGAGATGTTTCCAGAACCCTGGGCTGATTTCTTGTTGTTGGCCCCTGTCTTGGGGCTGGGCAGGGCGCCAAGGTGTGAAGACAGCAAGAAAAGGCAGTCGGAGCTCCAAAGGACAAGGCTGGGGATGAGGCCATTCCCTGATCCATTGCCTCTACTTCTTGGTAGTGTGGTCTTTGTTCTACCTACTCACCAGCAAGTAGAATTAGAAACCCCCTTGCAGCGTCAAGTCTGAGCCTTAAGTTCCTGGGTTCTGAAGCTCGCTATACTTCTGAATGTCTTTGCTGAAGTGTGTGTATGCAGCCTCCCCAAAGTGATCTTTGAGACGATCAGCTCAGGTTCAATCTCACAGCCTCTACCTTTGCTACCCAGAAACTGAACATTCTTTTCTCCCTCTCACCCCCTTCATGGACTGGATGGCCCTGGCCCCTATGACCACTCCTCTAAAGATCCTTCTGTTCTCACAGGCTGATTCTGGGCCCTTCCAGATGAGAGTGGCTTTTTCTAAAGAGGGGGTCTGGACGAGACTGACACACTTTGGACTAATCCTGCGTGGAATATACTACCTGTAGCCTCCCTCATTGAAGACATAACCCCGTTAATCCGGCCCATGTCTTTCACAAGGATTGCTATTTGGTTTTGCTTCCCCCATGCCGTGCTGATGGTACTAACTTAACCAGAACTTGTCTTACAGAATCCCATTGATTTTGAAGACTCTCGGTCTTTTATCCAACCCTGTCCCCAGCGATGATAATGTCACAACTATGCCTACGAAATCCCCATTCAAAGTGCAAGGTCACAGAGACCTGAAGACCACGGGAGACCCAGTGTCTGTGTATGATGGCTCTTCTAGGATGAGCCACAGTTTTCACTGGATTTAAGGGGCTCCCTCTCCCAGAGATGGATAGGAATCATGGAGAAGTTCCAGGCTCTTGCTTTCAGGTGGGACAGTGAGCCACTGTTCCTCCAGGCCGCTGCAGTACCTCCTCCCTCAGCTCCCGGGCCTGTCTGTGGTCTCCCTCTTGACAAAGCCATTTCTCCCAGACACTTTGCCTGATGCTCCCATATGCTGCCACCAGGGGGCAGAAGTGCCTGGCTGGCGGGAGACTTGGGACTGGATTGAGGACAGCCTCTCTACAGAGCAAGGGTCCGAATTCTGAAATGGTCGGTCTTTATTATGCCATCAGAAAACAAATGTGCTGGTTAAGTTATTCATCATTATCTTCTTAGTAACAAAATAAAGCACTATCTATGTTTACAGTCATAAAAAGAAACAGTCTGGAGAGAAATAGGGTCAGGCGGGGGGGGGGGCACCTGGCCATGTGGAGTTTGGGGTCACCTCCCCTGGCTTGGGGACTGTTCCAGATCTTTGGAGCTAGGTGCTAATGGTCTTTGATTTTCTTGGGAAAGAACCAGGATGTTCATCAGGAGTGAAGCCCAATCCCCAGGATGGAGTGGGGGAGGAAGGAACCCACCCCACGCTCATGAAGAAGGGATGGAGACCAGCTGCCATGGGGTCCCCTCTGCAGGACTGTCACTGACAAAAAGAGGAGCCATCAGTCCTCTGGCCCCCATGCCTGGGACTCGGGACAAAGCCCCGTGGAGGCCGAGGCACACTCTCACAGTACTAGGAGCTAAAAATGACTCCGTGGGAACTGACTGGCAAAGTCGGGAGGGAGAAAAGGGGTCAGCACAGGGTCAGGAAACTGCCAGTCCCAGGGGCAGGCTGGGCCCTATGGAAAGTCAGAGAGTCCAGTGGGTGGGGTGGGAGCACGGACAGACGGAGGAACAGAGAAGTGCACACTGGGAGAGAACACACAGAACCTGAGACACCAGACTGACGAAGAGGTAGCAATTTGGGGACAAAGAAGCACAGAAGAGGCCCCCAGAGAAGCATCAAGAGACACGTCACAGAGCTCATCAACATGCCTGGCTCACAGCAGCCACTTAGCAAACACCTTCTGCCCGGAGAAGCGAGATGACAACGTGCCCACACAGGCACGCACGCACGCACGCAACAGCCAGAGGCACATGGACTTGGAAGACAAAGACAGGATAGGCAGACCCTTCTGCAGAAAGGACAAAGTGATCCAGGTGACAGAGGAGTGACCTGGGTGGGACCTTCTGGGGCAGACATGTTGTCTCATGGCTGCGGTGGCCAGGACAAGATGGAAACAAAGCACGTTTTTGGGGACAGGTGTGTATCCGCCATCCCCTCAGGTAGGCAGACCTACAAGACGGGGTACATCCAGTGTTCCCGGGCCATTAGCCCCGAGGGCCAAAGACCTCAGCCAGCTCGGCTCCTCATCATGGTCACATGAATCCCGCCCAGCCAGTCCATTAACTCCTCAGATGTGCCTGAAGGTGTGGTGAAGAGGAGAGCCCTCCCCCCACCTTGGGAATGTATCTACAAGTGCACAGCTTTGCCCATCACCTGGGCACACCCAAGTCCAAGTACCAACATAGTTCAGGCTGGCTGGCTGGGAACAAGGTCTTCCCCAGGGGCGACAGGCCAGGCCCAGCTGGCCGGGGATCAGTCTGTAAGGACCACCAGTTCCCCATCACTCTTCTCTTCGCCCTCTGAGTCCTCGTCCTCGCTGTACCGGTACATCTCTCCATCAGCCACTGAGTGCCTGTCATCTGTGCCCTCCCCTTCCTCCCGGAGGCTGCAGGTATTGACGATGACGGGCATGTTGGGGTCCAGGCCCTGGGGGACATAGTGCTCCACCAATGGTTGTGCCAAGGGCATGCCTGCTGCCCGAGGGAACAGGACATCTGAGGAGCTCACCTGTGCCTGGCCAGCCTGCGGGCTGAGAGGCGGAGAAAAGGGGCAGTTACAGATGTACCCACGTGCCCGCCCAGCCCTCCCTGCTGCTGGCTGTCCTCCGGGCATCACAGGCATGCATTCCAACCCCTGTCCTGGCTGGGGAACCGTCACACCCTGGGCCCTGTGTGTGCATTCTGACGGCCAAATTAACTGTCTGCTATAGATGGAAAATCTAGAGCCATGGGTGTATTCTCGGAAGGTGGCACATGAATATTATTTCATTTTACTGTCACTGACTACAGGACTCCACACTTGGGCTTGCCAGGGTTATAGTTAAGGAACCTTCCTATGGGCTGAATCCCTGCAGCGTGTCTCCGTTTGCCCTGCGTTTGTCGGGTGGCAGGCGCCCCGCAGTCATTCTGGGTCGGACCCAACCCCCAGTCACCAGAGTCTTACATACAGTCATTATCCACCGGGGATCACGCATAGGCGGATGACAAACTGATCTGTACACGGATGCCCAGGGAGCAGCCACACAAACCCTGCCTGCCCTCACACAAAGGCCAGCCACACATGAACCCAGCCTCTCCCAGCAGCCACAGGCTGCTCCTGGCCACGAGGGGAGGCCTGCTCACGGGATGGCGTAGTTCTGGCGAGCACCCTGGCGCCGTGTTCTCATCAGGGCCTTGTACTCGCCCACGCGCAGCCGCCGTCCCTCCACAACGCAGGTGCGCTTAGGCCTCGGCTTGTACTTGTAGTCAGGGTATTTCTCCAGGTGCTGCCGGCTCAGGCGGGCCTGCTCCTCGTAGTACGGCTGTTTCTCTTGGTTTGTCATGGACTTCCAGCGAGAGCCTGACCCAAACCCAGGCAAGAACTCAGGGCCAGACTCTCAGAATCACCTCAGACCCTAGAAACCCTGACTGGACCCTGATCCCCAAGTGGGTCGACAGATAATACAGGTGAAAACCCTCATTCAGGGCCTGGCCCAGTGCGGATGCTCCCTGGATGCTGGGCAGGGAAATGGGTGAGCCTGGTAATGGCAGGTAGTTGGCACCACCCTCACGCTGAACAACTCCCACCCCTGAGAGGTGTCTTCCCAAGGGCATTCACAGGAGAGAAGTCACTCCAGGACACCAGGTATCCAGTGTCGGTCTGAGGTGCAGCTCAGATGCGTGGTAGAGCACCTGCTGAGCATGCGCCAGAGTACCTGCTGAGCATGCGCCAGCTCCTAGGCTGCACCCCCCAGCACAACAAAGCTAAAAACAAAACCCCGGTGCTCCAGATAGTAATCCTGCATTGTTACTGGAGGGTTCAGCCATGAAAACATCCCCCTCCCCACTCAGCCTTGTCTGCCCTGCCCCCTCCTCAGTCTCTGACACAGTGTGGCATTTAAAGTCTTGGTACGGACGATCCAGGATACCAATCTCCCATTTACTGCCACAGCACTGGCTAGGAGGCATTGGGAGTATGGGGAGGTAAGGAAAGCACTACGTCCCAAGGGAAGGAGCAACCAGAACAGCCTTGCACTGGTACAAGGTCCTAGAATCCAGCCACCCATTACAACTCAACTCCTACACCCTCTAAGATTCTACCAGAGGCTAACAAGACATGGAATATCACCAAGCAAGCCCTAAGTGGACCTAGCTGGCTCCTGGGACCCAGTCCTATTGAACTATCCCCGGCCCTTACCAAGAATCTTGCTGATGCTGGAGTTGTGCATGTCTGGGAAGGCCTGCAGAATTTTCCTCCGCTCATCCTTGGCCCACACCATGAAGGCATTCATGGGTCTCTTGATATGACTGCTGTTCCGGGACTCAGAGAAATGGCGGGCGCCTGGAGGATGGGCAGACAGAGTCAGTAACGGGGCTGGCAGACATCCCTTGCATGGCCACCAGGAGGCACTGAGGAGGCTCACACAGCGGTCAGCTCAGTTCAGGTGGGAAAGCAGAGAACTGGCACAGCAGGAGCCCAGAACTACAGGGCCCCACAGAGCAGACCTAAGGATAGACACCTGGGCACAATGGAGATGCAGGCCAGGACCTGAGGGCTTAATCACAGGAGGACCCAGGAAAGGAGGAGAGAAGTGACCAGAGACAGACAGGGAGGGCCCTAGTGGAATGAAGGGGTGCCCAGGATCAGAGCCCTCACCGTCCATGTCGCAGCTCAGCATGGCTTCCTCCAGCGGGTGCACACAGCTCTCCTCTGGCCTCTCCTTGGCTGGGGATGAGTCCAGGCTGATGAGGTCCTGCAGGTGATAGAGACATCAGTATGTCCCGTGTCACCCTGGCCGCATCTTCTATCACAGGCTCCCGCCCTCTGGGGAGAGGACGTGTGGCCCATACCTTGCGGAATGGGGGGTTGGGGGAGTTTTCCAAGGTCCCACCGTGGCTGTGCAGCAGTTGGCGAGCATCCTGGATGGCTTTGGTGACAGCATCCCCTTCACCAAGGAAGCCTGTTGAGGAGGGAGCAAAGTGGAGGATAGGGGCAACCCACACTTCTTACACTCCCTGCCATGTCACTCCTAGGGGGGTCCTTGTAGCGGCATCTTTGTGGTAGCTCTCTCTCTGCCCATCCCCCACACACCTAAGAGGCTGGGAATGAAGACCCTGGGCTGTCTAATCCGATACTGGAGGACAAACGGGCCATGGAGGGAGGCCTCCTCCGAGCCAGCCTAGACCCGGGCTTTAAGAATGCAGAGGCTGGAGTCGAGTTCAGTGATAGAGAGCCTGGGAATCTTTAAAACCCCACACTGGACCAGAGAAAGGGAAGGGTCGTGCCCACAGTGGCATCTGACTCAACTGTCCTCCTGGGTGAGAGCAGATAGGAAAGCTTACCCAGAGGCAGGCTGGGGGGGCTGGACTGCAGGTCCCTTGTGGGAGCCCCGTGGCTAGAGGGGTGAGGCCCGCAGCTGTTCATCTTGAGGCTGGGGGAGCTGGAGGTGTTGGGCAGCTCAGGTGCCTTAGGCTTGGCTGTGAGGTTCAATGGCTGGGGGGGCTCCTGGGGACCCAGAATGTCAGAAAGTGAGAGACACCAAAGGACACCCCTTCCCCCACGTCGTGGGACAGACAGGGCTCGGGGAGAAAGTGAGGCTAAAGCACCTGCCCAGAGCAGCCAAGAGGGAAAGAATGAGAGCAAAGGAGAAGGGCACCCCACGCAGTGGGCAGGGGAGTACCTGCAGGGGGTGGTGGGTGGCCACCCCGGGCCTTTTCACCACAGGGGCAGGAGGGCTGTGCAGCAGCTGCAGCGGGTACTCCACTGTGGAAAGAAAAGCAAGGGGCAAAGTCCCAGATGAGAAAACAGCCGGTACCAGCGTGACAGGTCCCAGGGCTACATGGTGGGCTGAGCCTAGAGCAGCCCCACTCGTTCTGTCCACATCAGATCCAAGCACCGCAGGGGACTGTCCATCACCCCCTCTTCCTACATGGGCCCTGCAGGCTGGTGGCCATGTCTGTCCTTTTTAACCATCTCTAAAGAGTTTCCCACGGTCCATGCATAGGAGGGCACACTCCGGTCTCATGCTTGCTGAGTTGTGAGGGGGCGGGGGCAAAGCGACCCTGTTGGGAGGACTGTGCATCACGAGCTCTCCCCCTAGGGTTACATGCTCGCGGTGTGTAAGAGACTGTGTAAAACACCAGTCTCATTTCACATGTGTATCAGTAGGGGTTCTCCAGAGATCTCGGGGACAAGGAGACAGTTCAGTGGGCTGCCCATGAAGCCATCCAACGGCAGTGCCAGGATTCTAAACCAGGTCTTCTAGACGCCATAACCTTGGCCTGTAGCGTTCTCTCTCCTACCCTATCCTACCTCACTAGGCTTAGCATCAAGGGGGCGTGGCAGTTCCACAGAGATAAGACTGTATACAAAATCACCAGCCCCAAGGCAGGTAGATAAGCCCACAGGAGGTGTGTCAGGGCACTTTGTTAGAGCTGGGGTGGAGGTGGGGAGTAAGGTATGAGGACGTGATGAGGACCATGAACCCAGTGGGTAAGCAAGGTTGTCTCTGTAGCAGAGAGCTGGCACTCTATGTGGGCTTGTGGGACGGGGAGGGTAGACCAGTAGTCTTCATTGCTACCCATCCCATTGGGGCAGTTTCAGGCAGCATGTCTGCCCTGTCCCCAGCTCTGTCACCAGAAATCACTGGGATCATTTCATCAGTCACCTTCACCCCCACAGCCCACTAGAGACAATGCACTCCCTGCTCAAGTGTTCCCATGCACCCACTTCCCAGACCCCATGCTCCAATCCTCAGTGGAATCACACACCCCTGTCACTCTCACAAGCCTCTGCCGCCTCTATTCCCTCCACCCCGTACCCCAGTTCCAGCTTCTCCCTCACTTCCTTACCCCCCAGGACCCAATCATCAAGTGCCCCCTCCTCAGGGAGCCCCCCAGGCCTTTCTCCAGCCTTCTCTCTCTTGAGACTCTGCTTTGCGGTGCGCTCTTCCTACCCATCCTTCCTGCCAAGCTCAGGAAGGACTTATTCTTCCACCAGACAAACCACTGAGCACGGATGGGCTCTCTCATCTCACCGCAGCCTCTGCGGTGGGCCCTTCCCTGTCTCACTCACCTGGTTTGCAGGGAATGGGCTGGATGGGCAAAGCCAGCTGGGAGTCAGGGGTGACAGGCAGTGGCTGGTGACTTGGGGGAAAGGCTGGAATCATGACATAAGGCATGTTAACCTGCTGAAGGCAAAGAAACCCACCGTAAGTCACTGGGGACCCAAAGCGCTGCCCAGATGTCGTTCTGCCCAGGACCTGAGGTAGAGTGGGTATACACAGAACACAGGGTAGGGACAATTTTCCAAAAGATCCATCTGACCCCGTACGACATCTACAAGCCCATCTACTTGTCACCCCCCTCAAAACAGGACTCCGGAATTGGAAGGAATTGGAGCAAAATTGGATGAAGAATATGGCCTCTTCATCAAGCCTAGGGGGAGCCTGTTCTGCCGTCCCCTTCCCAGGCAGCTCTGCCTGCGCTGTCCCCTCGTCACCTGGATCTGCTGCTGGAGGACGTTGATCTTGTGCTGCTGCTGAATCAGCTGCTGCTGCTGCTTGGCAATCTAGTGAGACGTGGAGTCAACAAGAGAATCATGGAAGGCCCTGGCCTCCTCCAGCGCCTACCACAGCCCACCCGTCTTCCCCAGGAGCATGCGGAGTGGGGTGTGGGGTAGAGCACCAGTTCTCGAACCTGGTCTCCTCTGCAGACAGTCACCCCTCCCAAGGAGTCTCAGAAGCCCCTGCCCTGGCTGGCACCTACCTGTTCCTGCTGCTGCCGGGCCAGTTCCATCTGCTGCTGCTGCTTCTCAAACAGCATGGCCGCCATGTTCTTCTGCTCGGAGTGGGCTGTGAGGAGCTGGTCCCGAAGGGCGGACAGCTGGTGAATCATGACCAGAAGCTGAAGCTCCTTCTCAGCCAGGCTCTCTTGGGTCCCTGTTCATGGTGAAATGCCGCCACGGAGACCTTTGTTAGTGCACCTATCTATTTGCTCACCCACCCATCTGACAACCTCTCTGTCCCAGGAGCCTGCCAGGCTGGTGCCCAACTTCTCTGTACTTGAAGGGATTTAAAAAAAAAAAAAATCTACTGTTTGGCACGATGGCAGTTACTTCCTGGGATCAGCCTGAGGATGAACGAGCTAATAATGTGTGGAAAGTTGTTTGTCTAGGACCTAACTGCAATTGCTCATGTCTTCCATTCCAACCTGGCTGTCTGATGAGCAGTGTACTTCCAAGCACTCAAGTGGGGACCATTTTATAGTCAGGATGCCTCTGGAAAATGCCGAAGCTCAGGCCTCCATCTTTAGGGCTTCCCATCCGTGAACGCGGGGAGCATAAGTATTGATTTAATGCTCCCACTGTGGGCATACTCAACAACACTTGAGAAAATGGTCACCCTGAGGAGGTAAGCCGCGGCTTTCACTGTGGTTCTGGAAGCCTAGCTTCAACTGCCAACACTGCGTGGAAAGTTTCGGCTCACTTTAGACTAGGACCTGGAGGTTGAATGACAAGCCTCAAGTCCCAAGGGTCCCCTAATGAGAGCCTAGATTCACCCCCCATGGGATCTGTTTCCAGTCAGGCTGCTCCCACCTGGGGATGGGCCAGACAACTGCTTAGAGATGCCCAGGTGAGCCAAGTAGGAATGAGGTACTGCCTGATATACCCAGAGTGCATGATAGACCAGAAAGGAAAGGCTAGGGCTGAGATGCCCTCCCCTGATCTCCGCACACAGGCCCTGCACCTTTGACATCCTTGGTTTCCACAGAGCTTCTTCCCAGAAATCGCTCCTTCCAGTCGCCTGACAGCAGCTTCTCAATGGCCGGCACAACTGGAAGAAGGCAGGGTAAGGGCAGGGCGAAGCCCACCAGAGAGCATCCCAGACCTCACCTCTGACTCAAGCATCCTACCTTCTTGTAAGTTACGGTTGAAGTCCAACCGCTCCTGGCTTCCCGAAGCGGCCTCAGAAGCTGCTGGTCTCTTGGGGTCTGGGGACATACTGCTCTCTGGTGAGGCACAGTCCTGCAAGAGACAATGAATTATCACTGCCACTCCCAGGAAAGGGAGCACAGACAGGGCTGAGCACCCCAAAGGTGTCCTTTCCGAGGGACCAAGACTCTGTGGGATATTGCTCATTCTCACATTCCCAGGCCTGGCTTGCACCACCCTATAACTGATACAGTGAGATGAAGAGACCTGGGGACAGGAGGCCTGGGTATCAGTCCAGGTCTAGTGGCTCACAAGGGGCTGGACCTCACATAAACCCCGACAACTCTCTGAAAGTCAGGACTGTCTCTGGGATCCATAGAGTAAAGCATCTGAATGAGGAGCAGATACATTGGGATCACCATGGAAACACACCTGTAGGTTTGTCTATGAGGATGCTTCCAGAAGGAAAACCTGCCCTGACTGGAGGATCCTGGACAATTTTGTCTCCCCACTTCCAGACTACAGATGCAACATGGCCAGCTGCCTCAACTTCCTGGCCACCTTCTCCACCATGTGTGCCCTCGAACTGTCGGCCAAAACAAACCCTTCTTTAGGTTGCTTCCGTGGGGCATTCTGTCCCAGCACTAGAGAAGTAACTAATACAGAACCCACCTAGGCTAGTTATTCCTACGAACACATGTGCTGCTCCAGTCCCGCTGCTTGATTTCGGGTACCCACTGTGGCCTCCCTAAATGATCCCCCGGACTGGAGCACTGCCTCAGCAGTTGGGAGCTCTTGCAGGGGACTGGAGTTCAGTTCTCAGCACCCACATCCAGCTCCAGAGGACCCAACTGTTGCAGAGTATTTATTTAACTAGGTAAAGGTGTGTTGCATTTATTTAATTATGGAAAGATATGTTGCTGTTTTACCTTGCCTGCCTAAGGCACCTGATTAATTGATTTTTTTTTGGAGGGGGGGGGTTGAGACAGGGTTTCTCTGTAGCTTTGGTGCCGGTCCCAGAACTAGCTCTCATAGACCAGGCTGGCCTCAAACTCCCAGAGATCCGCCTGCCTCTCGAGTGCTGGGATTAAAGGCGTGCGCCACCACCGCCCAGCCTGATTAGTTTAATTGAAAGCTGAACAGCCAATTGCGAGGAAGAAGGTAGGTACAGGCAGAACCTCCAGGCAGGGAGAATAAGTAGGAAGAAGAATTTAGGCTTAAGAAGAAAGAAAAGAGAAAAGGCGCCAGAAAGACGCGAGGGGCCAGCTAGACACAAAAGAAGCAGAAAAATAGGACACACAGAATGAGAGAAAGATTAAAAAGCCCTGAGGCAAAACAGAAATGAATAGAAACAGGTTAAAATAAGTTAAAAGAGCTAGTGGTACAAGCCTAAGCTAAGCCTGAGCATTCATAATTAATAACTCTCCATGTCTTTATTTGGGAGCTGGCTGGTGGTCCAAGGAAACTTCCAATTACATCCGACATCCTCTTCTGGCCTCTGAGGGCAACTGCACACACGCGCGCACACACACACACACACACACACACACACACACACACACGTACTCACACATTTTTAAAGAAAAATAGGGGCTGAAAAGATAGCTCAGCAATTGCTTTTGTAGCTCTTGCAGAGAACCCAGGTTCAATTTCTAGCACCCACATGGTTGCTTACAACCACTCCAGTTCCAGGGGCTCTAACCCCCTCCTCTGTAGCACCAGGCACTCATGTGATACACACACTCAGGCAAAAAAAGAAAGAAAAAGAAAGACAACAACAAAACAACAATACGAAACCAAAAACAGAAGCCAAAACTCACAAATATAAAATAAACAAATCTGAAAAATTGAGAAATATAAACAAATATGTGGATGGATGAATGAATGAATGAATGAAAACAAATCTTTAAAAAAAAGAAGTGTTCAATTGGGCATGGTAGTCCAGCCTTTAATCCCAGAACTCAGGGGTAGAGGCAGGTAGATTTCTTTGAGTGCCTAGATAGCCTGACTGACCATAATAGAGACCCTGTCTCAAAAAACAAGAAGAGGAGGCGAAAGAGGAGAAGAGGGAGGAGGGGGAAAGGGTGGAGGGGGAGGAGGGGAAGAGGGGAAAAGGGTGGAGGGGGAGGGGAGGAGGGGGAAGAGGGGGGAAAGGGTGGAGGGGGAGGGGAGGAGGGGGAGGGGGAAGAGGGAAGGATGGGAAAGAGGGGAGGAGGGGGAGGGGGAAGAGGGAAGGAGGGTAAAGAGGGGAGGAGGGTAAAGAGGGGAGGAGTGGGGGGGAAGCAGCAGCAGCAGTGCTCCTTGTTTCATCTAAGCCAAGGCTCCTGGTGTCTAAGGTTTACCACTCCAAAATGTGTCCCCTGGTCACCCCCACTCTTCCAAATGGAGTTCCTCCTTAGAGTCATCAAATTAAACTTCCTGTATGGAAACAGAAGTTTAAGACCTGCAGAATTTCTACCATATATTTCAGCTCTCTCCCCTCTATGTACATGTGTTCTACACGTGCGTGTGTGCGTGCGTGTGTGTGCGTGCGTGTGTGTGTGCGCGCGTGTGGTGTAGGCCCTACTTTGACAGGCACCTGTCCTTTTATTTACCGAGGCAGGTCTCTCACTACACCCAGCGCTCCTGTTCCAGGGACTCCCACCTCTGCCTCCAGGCAGCTGCCGTACTTTCTTGGCTTTTACGAGGGTCCTGGAAATCCCAACTTCCATCCTCTCGCGTGTGCAGCAAGGGCTTTACCCACTGACTCATCTCTCCAGCCCCTATTCCCTTGTCTTAAGGAAATTATAGTCTGAAATGGCCACTCAGGTAGGGATGGAAGGAGACACCTCCTGTTCTGCTCTGACAGGTTACCCAGCTTCTAACCCTGACCATGTGGCTCTTCCCATCTGCTCACCTGGGCTCCCCCGGGGCCCCATTGCCCTTTCAGAGACCATTTCTGCACACAAACTAGACAAAAGCATAGAGGCGTGGTGGAAAGGGTAGATCAGCACCAGGTGGAGGCACAAGGCGGGTGGGGGGCAATAACCAAGGGGGTCCCTCGAAAGAAAGCGCTAGATACCTGAGCTGGAGCTTGTGAGTTGGCCGCTTCCTGTGGAGCCAGGGCTGGGTCTCCAGGCTGGGTCTCCACTGCAGTGGCCGTGACTTGGGGGGCCTCGTGGGGAGGCTCCTTCTTCTCCTCAGACTTGATGGTGCAATTCACCATGGTGCTAGCACTGTCCAGGGCCAGCTGCACAGAGATGGGGCTCCGCATGGACATCCTGGGAAGAGAGACAGAGGACCTGGAGTAAGTGAGGTCCAAGATCCAGTTTATGAGCCCACCCTGCCCCTGCAGGAGGTGCCCCTATCCTTTGTTTCCCAACCCAAGCATTTCCTGGCACCCCTCAAAGGTGCATACGTCTAAAACACAAGCCTACTTTGGAACCTGCTTTCTTATTTTTTAATTAGTAGAATCCATTTGTGATTCCCACCTTTGGTATTCACTCCCCCCTTTTGCTTTTGCAGTGCCAGGGCCTTGCACGTGCTAAGTGAACACTCCGTGTTTCTTGCCATGCTGGAGCCAGTGAGCTGATGAGCTCACCCGAGGAAGCCAGAGGGGGTTAACTGGTTGTGTCAGAACCCAAGACAACTGAACACTGTATCTATGTAAACGTATGTACTGGAGCCAGGCAGTAGTGGTGCACACCTTTAATCCCAGTACTCGGGAGGCAGAGACAGGCGGCGCTCTGAGTTCGAAACCAGTGAGTTCCTGGACAGCCAGGGCTACACAGGAAAAAAAAACTGTCTCGAAAAATAAAAAGACATGATCTCAGATAGTCCAGGCTAGCACTGAACTTATTATGAAGCTGAGGATGGCGTTGAACTCATGCCCATCTTGCAATATGCTTGGTAGACTCTCAGGAAGTGCACTAAGTGGCCTTCTCCTCTATCATACAGCCTAGCGCCCCCCAGGGGTGAGAGTCTGCGGGGCTCTGGAGAGCAGTTTCCAGGGTCACATCAGGCTAGAGACCAAGCAGCAGCTCTCACCCTCTCTCCAGTCCCTGGGCAAGCACTCAGAGTTGCGTGCTGGTCTCAGGTAGCACACAAGGGTCTGGCCTCCGGCAGAAGTGTTGGGAGGTGGGGCCTCAGTAGAGAGTATTAGGTTAGGAACCCTCTGTCTTCCTTCACAAATGGGTTAACGTCAGCTCTGGGGAGACTTTACTAGAGTTGAGTTAACCTGGTAGTCCTGTGCCCTCCTGCCACAGGGTGATACAGCAGGAAAAGCACACGCTTAGACACACAGGGATCAAAGAGCAACAACCATCAGATGCACTAACAGACCCTTAAACCCACATAAATGTAGAAGGCAAGAACCACCCCAGAATTGCCACCTGACTTCCATTCATGTCCAGACACAAATATCTCCCTCCCCTCTCCTCCTCACACACGCAATAAGTTTAAAGCAAAACAAAAACACGTTATGAATTATTTACTTCTACGGTTTCCCACCTATACTTTCAGATCACGGTGGCCCCCTGAATAGAGCGACCAGTGAATTTGGATATCACATCAATTCTGTACAGGGTATCCCGTAGTCCATAGATTACACCAACTATTCTGGTACTGTGTACTGGATCATACAATGTTACAGCTTTGTATACAACGGAATACATAAGGTGTTTTATGAACAGCTACAGGACTATTGTAAGCGACTAAGATATACACATCTGTATTTGATTTGATTGTATCCTGTAGATCAGAGGACGGCAGACTCCCCCACCCTCTTTTCTGAGTGCAAGGTAATCAGGAACCCAGGATAGGACCGGGCAAGAGAAGGCTAGCTGACCCTAGTTGGGGCCCATCTCACCTGGATGAAGAGAAAACAGACCCCTGCCCGGCTTGGCCCAGGGGGGCTGCCTGGAGAACCTGCAGAAAAGCAGGCAGCTCAGCCCATCCGGCTGGGGAGGGGCCCGGGAGCCAGGCCCCGCAGGGGGCAGGAGTGGGGGCGGGGGGGCATTATCCTGGAGCTGAGGGCAGCAATTACATAACAAACAAACCCGGGCTCAAGCTGTGAATTAATCAAACCGCTGAAAATAAAACCTTCCTCTCAGGAACTTCAGACAAAAGAAATGAAAACAACCAGGCTGGCTGGGAAATAAAAGGCAGCGGTGCTGAAAGCCAGGACAAAAGGAAACCAGACAATAGGGTGCTGGACAAAAGCAACAAAGCCAGAGGAAGTGTGACAGGCGCACAATGAAGGCCTGTGGGCTTCTGATCCCTAGGCTCTCGGCCACCTCATCCCACACCACTGGCTGCCACCAGATCGCCTCCGCTGGCCAGACTTGGGTCCCAAAGGGCTCTCCTTCTCCATCAGTACCCGGCCTCAGGTTTCCAACTCCTACCTCAGTTCAAGCAGTCCCGGCCACCGCAGCCAGAGCGCACGGTCAGACGAGCGCCCGAGGTCAAATGCTGCCCTACGGGACATGGTGACCATCCACCCACCCATCCCCGCCCCACGAGGGCTGTCCTGACTACCCAAGACCAGCCTCACTGGCTACATTTGGCTACTGAGCCCTTGTAACGCAGCCAGTCTGGGTAGGAACGTGCCACATCAAACACACCAAGGGTCCCCAAACTCAGCGTTCATTATCAGCTGTGGTCACAACCTGATGGATTAGGCTAGAGAAAACAGTCTCTTCTCTCCCTCTCGCTTAGATCTTTTAATTATGTGTGTGCATTCTATGTGTGTGCGCTCATGAATGCACGTGCCCGGAGCCCGAGGCATCAGATTCCCCTTGGAGCTGTGGTTTACTTGTCCTCTGCAACAGTGGTACCCACTCTGAACGTCTGAGCCATCTTTCTAGCTCTAGACAAAACAGTCTTTTGTTGTTGTTGTTTTGAGACAGGGTTTCTCTGTGTAGTCCTGGCTGTCCTGGAACTCACTCTGTAGACCAGACTGGCTTTGAACTCAGAGAGATCCTCCTGCTTCTGCCTCCCGAGCGCTAGGATTAAAGGTGTGCGCCACCACCGGCCAGCTAGACTAAACATTCTTAAGACTCATCCCACCTTTTTCTTCCCCGAGACGGGGCCTAACCGTGTGGGCCAGACGGAACTAAGATCCACCTGCCTCAGTGCCTGAGTCACCGGATTAATTAATTAATTTATTTTTTTTATTTTTATGTGCATTGGTGTTTTGCCAACATGTATGCCTGAGTGAGGGTGTCAGATCCCCTAGATCTGGAGGTAGAGACAGTTGTGAGCTGCCATGTGGGGGCTGAGAATTGAACCTGGATCCCCTGGAAGAGCAGCCAGTGCTCTGAATCACTGAGACCTCTCTCCAGGCCCCACACCTGATCGTCTTTGTAGTTCAGTTTGTTTATTCGGGGTTGCGATGGGGGCTGCACCCAGGTAGTACACATTCTGCCACGGAGCAGCACACCCAGCATTTAAATTTCTTTTTACATGTATTTACTAGGAGACACAACATCATGCAAGTCATGGCCAGTGTGTTCCTCAGGGGAACCACTGAGCCTCAATGCTCTTTCTCACCTCTCCCATCTCCACCCAGCACCCCTAGCCCATACTTGGGGTTATCTGCTATTAAGAAGTGGCATCTTGGGGCTCCCAGCACTGGTAAACTAAAGAAATGGCTCCCACTGACATCAGACTGGTTTGGAGTTGTCAACCTTGTCACCTCAGCCTAGTGCCCTCAGGTAACCCTAACAGATCCTGGGACCCATATGCTCACAGGCAGGCACCTGGCTTAGCAGAGGCAGGGACAGGGCTCGTGGTTGGTCTGCTCCGAGCTTACTTAAGGAGAGGCACAGCCTGGGCCTAGGAGCCAGGCCTTGGCAGGGACTGCTAGAAAACTGAGTCCTGGACCACCTCACTGCCTACCCATCCTTGCCCTGTCGCAGCCTTGAAAGAAGCAAGGTAAGGGTCAGGGCTAGAGTCTGTAATTCTTGCCTGACCCTGTGTGAATACTGGCAAGCAGCCTCTCGGCCTGTCTCATCTTCTGCACACTGGGTAGTTAGCCACACCTCACAGGAGTCCATGGGGGTTAAGTACCACACGGTGAGCATCCTGTACATGGACGTGAATAGCCCAGGATGCTGAGTCAAGTGGGTGACAGACAAGTCTCCAGGTCACACAGACCTGGGTATTGTCTGCGCTCGAACCCTGAATAGCCACTGCTGTGCCACCTTGGGCAAGTAACCTCCCTGAGCCTGTTTCCCCCTCAGTAACATGGGCATAAGACAACCCAGGAAGAAGAGCTAACCTATGAAATGTGCCTGTTTTACATTCTCGGGCACCTTGAACTTGGCCTTCACAGGACTAAATCATAGCTGAAGATACCTTCGAATGCCTGCTGTTTCTGACTCACCCAGGAGCTTGGGAACCCAACCAAGGCAGGGTGAAAATATAGCTGTTTCCACCCATCATTGTGGCCCCAGAGTCTAGCACAGAGCCTGCAGCATGGGGGACCGGATGCTGCTCCCTGCCCTTCCCCTGTGTGAGAGACACCCAGCAACAGAGCAAGTTCATTTCTTTTTCTTCCTACCCCCAACTGATAAGAAACCTTTCCCTCAGTCTTAGGATTTAAAGACCCCGTAGGAGCCTCCCTTCTTAAGCCCCTTTTCCAGGGACTAAAGACCCCACCAACTTCCTTTACTCCTTCCTTGCAAAGCACATGCTACACCTTCTCAGCGGATTTCCCTCTCTCTAGATGCCCAGAAGCCCAAAGCCCTCAGTGTGCAGGAGACAATTATGGGCTTCCCCAGCTCCACCCTATTCTGCAACCCCAAGTCCTAGTTAAGAGTCATAAACCCACGGCAGCCCACAAGCGCAATGGATGCTCCCCTGTGTTATCAGCCCTCCCTCTTGTCCAGCATCACACTCTTGGGGCAGCCCTGCTTCAGAACTACTGCCAGCAAGGACCCTAGCAGACCTTCCACCAGTAAAGAGGCTGAACAGGTGCACACCTTTAATCCCGGCACTTGGGAGGCAGAAGTAGGTGGGTTTCTGTGAGTTTGAGGCCAGCCTGGTCTACAGAGCGAGTTCCAGGATAGCTAGGGCTGTTACGTGACATGTGCCCCCTTAAAAGTGCCCGCCAGGCACAGGTTTGCTCTGCCTCTCTCATGTCCCAACTCCCACACAACTGTTCACTCTCTTGCTTCCCCTTCCACCCCCACCAATAAACCTCTGGCATTAATTCTGCCGCATGGGCCATGTTTGCGTAGTGGCATACCTCGGCAGGGCCCACCAAAAGGCACCCACTTCG